ATAACACTGCACGTTTGTAACGTCGCTTTTCATTGGATAATCGTGACGTTTATATATTTTTATATACACGGCTGTTGTCGATTTATAAAGAAATCTCGCTTTATTCCTCTAAAAATGATGCTTGCTGTAATATAAATTCGTTATAAAGATTGCTAACAGATTATATGGCCTTATAAAAACGACTGTTTGCAATATAACCCTCGCCTAGCGGCTCGGGTTATATTTACAAACAGCCGTTTAAATAAGGTCATATAACCTGTCAACAATCTTTATAACTAATATTAACATCAATAAATGAATAAAAAGTGAAGCAATGTAAAATGAATGTGTCTTTTTTTCTGTTGTGTATCGGTTGCTGGAGGGTCCACCGAGCTGGTATTGGAGTCTGAATCCCTGGGAGACACGGTTATTGCCAGTTGGTCCTCTAGCTTATCAGGGTCAATAAGTTCGAGTGGTCGGTGGGCCTGGATGGCTCTTCTTGTATTCTTTCTATGCGTCCAAAACTTCTTCTTTGGATACATTCTAGTGTGATGCAGCAATCACTCTAATGGTAGGGTGGCAGCAGGTAGTTGTGTTTTTTTTGTACAGTTCTTGCTGACGTAGAGGCCGTGTTAGACCGTACGAGGCCGTGTGAGACCCTGTATACTCGTACTTTACCGTGTCGGCCATGTATGTTTCGTATATGAACCGTATTGGTCGTATGGCGATCGTATGAAACCGTGCGTGCACTCGTTTGAATCGTACCGTGATCTTGTGACATTCGGGTGTTAATCGGGTGTTGGATGTAGGACTTGGGGACGGTCTCGAACGATTCCATACGATTTATATACGACCTTGATACGGTTTGGCTCACTCGTGGAGTGAACTTCACATACGGCTGTATATACGGTCTCATACGGTCTCACACGGTCTTGTACGGTCGCTTATACGGTCATACACGGACATGGCATCCGTACCAGTTTTTTAAAAGTTTTAAAATCATACACGGCTTACACGGATACACTCGAATGGCCCGAGTGTAACTCGGATAACGCTATGGTTAGTTCGGTTATATGTACGATTAACATGGGTGGCCAACCGTGTAAGCCGTGTGTCCTGTGTGAGATGGGCTTAACACAAAGTGGCATCCATAAGTAAATGAAATATAATGTGTTCAATGTTAAATAATATACACAAAATTTACATAAACGAGATGACCTTTGACAAATGACTTTAAGTTGGCTATTCAATCTTTGATGTTTACACACCTGCCGAATCATCAAAAAGTGCAGACACTCAATTGACTTCAACCCTTTTTATATATCAGGAAAAAAAATTAAATTTTGTCAAGAAACGATTACACATCTTTAATTATTGCTCAAAAGTAAAAGAAAAAGTTGGATAATTATCGTGTCAATTATTGACATATTATAAATTCAATATTTAATCTCTATAGTGATATACACTCAGCAAAAATAGAAAACTGACAGTGTATATTTTATTATTATTTTCAGGAAATCGATGATGGAAATGTAAAGCATGAAAAAGAGATGCATGCACAACATTGATATGCATTTTGTTGTTTATTAATTATGTTTAAGTTTGCTAAATTACGCTAGTTGTAAGGAAAGGGTCAAATTCATTTTATCAATTTTGTGGCTATAACGTTTTGACTACGTACAGATAGGTTTTAATCATTTCATTAACTGTTTTAAAATGCATGCGATATTTTCATTTCAAATTCGATATGCTCTATCGGATTCATATCTGGAGACATTGCTGGCCATTGCATGGTATTGACGTTGGCTGCAGCTAAGCGAGTGCGAGTGTGTGAGGCCACGGGCGTTGTCTTGTGGAAACCCAACAGGACCGTTTCTTTGCATAGATGGATGATAGCCTCAGCATTCAAGACTTTGTTGATGTAACTCTGGGCGTTTAAGTTGCTGTGTATAACAATAAGCCAGGTCTTTCGTCCACCCATTATCCCGCCCCATACCATGACGCTTCCACCACAGAAACAATTATGCTGTCTAACAGAGACAGGTGCAAACCTTTCGCCCTTTCGAAGGTAAATTCTTACACCGCCGTTGGCATGACTGAGATTTAACAAGACTTATCTGAAAACAGGACAGTATTCTTGTCACGTTGCGCCAGTGACGGTGCGCACATGCCCACCTGACGATGGTGGTAAGTGAGAATACCGCCTGTATATGGGCGTCACGCTCTAATCGGGCGTTGTTGTGGGCGCAACCAATTGCGATGGTTTGTGCAGTTACGTTAAACGCGGGCGCGGTCAAGGTCGCCGGTCTGAACCTGAGTTAAAACAATTGCACGGTCGTCCCTTTGGGTAGTTGCCCTTGGCCTACCTGGCCTTGGATGACTGTGCACATCACCTGTAAGTCTATAGCCTCTTACAAGTTCATGAACTCTGTTGCGTTTGCAGTTAAATCTTCTACTCACCTCAACAACAATTTTGATTTCTCTCGGCTTCTGATAAACATGGTATTGTGAAAGCGATCAACTTTAGGTGTGAATAACACTAAATTGTTACTGAACACATGTAAAGTGCCTTAAAATATCACTGTCTATCTGACATCGTTCAGCATGCACCGGGCTCACGTGTAGCCCCGTGCAAAAACTAAAATTTTCGCTCAGCTGCATTCTACTTACAATACGAGGTCAAAACAAAAAACATGTATAGTCAGGGTTCTCGGGGACGCTTATTTCGGCGTCCCGGTACGCATGTTTATTACAGCTGGACGCAAATATTTCAGAGCAAGGATTCCACGTACGCTTAATTTTGCCTGGGGACGCATAAAATTACCGATTGTTTACAACCACAAATACACAAATACGTCAGCGCGTGTCAGTCTATAGGTAGGCGGTCCTATGCACATCGACCCGTGAAGCGATTAGCCAATCAGCGATAACGCTTCCGATCATTATCACGCAATAGTGATCAGACTAATGTATACACGCGCTGTACATGTAATTACCAGATATAACACAAGGTGATAATTTTATATCTTTGATCAACAGTTGATTGGAAATTAGCAAATTTTACCGACAAAAGGATAAAATTATCGACTACTTACGCCGCAAGTTTAAAGACTGTTTTCTTTAATTACAAATGAGTGTAATTTTGAATGATTGTCGAACATTTTCGGCATTTTCTAGGCACAATTTTGCTTTAGTTTCATTCTTGCAAAAATGTTCTACAAGAGTATTAAGAATTTAAGATATTGTGCCGAAATGCCAAGACAACAAACACAAATACACATATGCTTTTCTTTGATCCGAAAATTGATCCCGAACATCGGCGATTTCACTTTCGCCAGAAACCCTAAAATTTCGCAAAAATTCTCAGTTTCCAATCCAAACACGTGAATGAATTGTTCTTTTATTATTTAATCAACATTAAATCTTTAAATATCGATCTTCAATTTGCCCCCTTTTGAAGATATTTGCTAAAATAATTGCCGATCGGATGAATCTCTTACACACTGTGTGAAGCTGTACACGATTTTCCTATTCATTCCGCTAAACGTTGCCTATATATAGACATTTACAAATATAAACTTTTTGTCTTTAGAGTGGACTTATTTAACCAGAATAAGATTTGATTTGGTATAAATGTGAAAAAAAAAACACAAAAAAAAACGATTTCCATGAATTGTGTTGATGCATTATAATGAAATAATTTCATAATAAATATTAACAACAAATCAATAATTCAGAGTTTTTTTTTGAATAACTGTAAACTTTGAAAGTCTCTTGAAGATTCAAAATATCAGCAATGCTATTGTGAGCATTGAATGACTAATCTATAAACATATTAATTGCGACACGCTTTTGGACTCCAACTTTTTCAGGGTTGGGAGTCCATGGACTCCATGTTTTAAAGTCCTAGTGAGAACCCTGTATAGTGTATCAATATTACATGAATACTTACTATACATGTTTTGATTCAAATCACAAATTAGAAAATAAAAATAAAAGAAATATAGTGTCAGGTTTCTATTTTTGTTGAGAATATATTTCATCTATCTATATCTATCTATCTATCTATCTATCTATCTATCTATCTATCTATCTATCTATCTATCTATCTATATCTATATCTATATCTATATCTATCTATCTATCTATCTCTGAATACTGCCAACCCCTCTCGCGAGTGTTATAGGCAGGAAATTGTGCGCGTCGGTGTGTTAGTAAAATGTGTGAGAGAAAGTAAAAACCTGAAAATGAACATGATCAGGACAGTGAGAGACATTGAAAACTTCTAGTCATTGTTAAAATATTTTTGTTAGTAAGGGTGAAAGAAAGATTTAAAAGTAAAAACACAACAAGTCAACTAATACTGTATCTTAACCACTGCCTGTTTGTATTGATCTAGATCAGGCAGGGTGACAATGTTCCTTGGGAGCTGGTTCCAAAGTGTGATACAGTGGGGGAAGAAGGAGAACTTATGGTAGTCTGATGTAACCTGTATTTTCCTAAGAGAGAGGGGATGCATATGTCTAGTAAGCCTAGATGGAGTTTTAATGTAGGTGGGAAGGCTAATGGCTACTAGGTTATGGTAAATTTTAAAAAACATAATAAGTCTAAAGTCTAGTCTGCGATGCTCGAGAGAACGCCAGCCAAGATCTTTCTGCTATCTCTGAGTACTGCCAACCCCGCTCGCAAGTGTTATAGGCAGGAAATTGTGCGCGTCGGGTGTGTTAGTAAAAGGTGTGAGAGTAAGTAAAAACCTGAAAATGAACATGATCAGGACAGTGAGAGACATTGAAAACTTCAAGTCATTGTTAAAATATTTTTATTAGTAAGGGTGAAAGAAAGATTTAAAAGTAAAAACACAACAACTCATCTCAACATCTTCACAACATCTCTTAAATCTATTTCAAATAGGCCTAAACATTTTCTATCAGCTTCATTAACTGACAAAAAAAGGGCTTGATCCCTATCAGTTTCTTGATAATATTTTTCGCTAAACTTAGTCATACATTAAGTTATAGTACCTGTTTGTTCAAGTGCACGTAAACCTTCCACTTCCAAAATATCTGGACTCTGATCATTTTTTAAAGGCTTTTTATTCTTCTTCTTCTTTTTGCCAGCTGATTTTTTCGCTTTTTCCGATCCCATTGGTATTTTTTTATTAGTCTGCTTTGCACTATTATTTTTATCCATATCAAAAATGAAGAAACAAACGTGTCGGTGTTTTGTCGTTTTGAAGGGCCGCCATATTGTTTACACCGAGCAACACAGAAAGATTACACAAAAAAGTAGCGCGTATGTTTTACTTTTCTGTTAATTTTTTTTTGGTCAAGTTCAGAAAATATTAAATAACTTTAAACTACAGATAAAACTATCACGAAAAAATGGGGAAAAAACTACATTCATTGCTTTTATGAAAAGTGTTTTCCTGTTGCTAAGGTAATCAGTGCGTGAACTTTTTACACGGTGTCTTGTGATTTTGATGTTCATGAAAATTCTTATTTAGCGCGCGAAAATGAATAATTGCGGAGGCGATGAATTTAGCGATAATGAAGACGAGATACTGACGACAGCAATAGAAAATTGTAATTTACCTGTTTTGGAAGCCCTTATTTACTGTTTGTTTTTACTTTAAACAAATTTTAAGTTCATTCCTACATTTTGGTTTTCTTTCATTAGTTTTCGCGATTTGCTACCCCATTGCTTGCCTGTCTGTATGTCACAAACTACGCACCTATAGTACCGGTTGGAAACTATAGGGTAGCTTATGTTCGAAATAACATTTTAGCTCGACTTTTTGATAAGAATAAGTAAGAGCTATCTTAGTCACCTGAGCGTCTGTGTCGCTGTCAATATAAAGCTTAACATCAGCGCTCCAGATAATTTTTTTGGCCAAGGGGGTTTTACCCCTCAAAATTTAGAGTGATGGGTAAAATGCAAATTCTGCAAAACTTAAGGGGTAAAATCTGTCAAAAAACGCGTTTTGCATTTTTTATAAACAAATTAAACTTATTGTTGTGTTTGTTTGTTTGTTTTTCTTTTTTTAGAAAAACCTTTACAAATTAAATAATGATTTAATGTGAAACAATACAAAACATGCCATGTAAAGTCAGACTTCCAGAGTATACTGGAACTCAAGTTTAGGATACACAGCAAAATTATCAGGGCTTCCATTTTCAAAATTTGGAAGTCAAAGACTTCAAAATCTCTGATATTTGAAGTCACATTATATAGGTTAAGAAGGAAAAGTATTGATTTTCGAAAGTCACAGGCCAAATGAAGGAGAAAATGACTCCCAAACTTCCACTAGTGGAAGCCCTGAAATTATTTTATTTTCTAGGAGTCAATATTTTTCTTTTTTTATTTTGTTGGCATGTACCTTATCATCAGTGTAAGAAATTAGGATTTGAATCCACTAGGCTGGTCGGACTACCAATTTGGAATATTCACTAGCCCGAAAGACATTTCACTAGCACGATTCATTTGTTCAAAACAGTTGTTTATATTGTCTCTAAAAATACAGTAGCCTGGTCGGGCTTGTTACTGTGAAAAGTTGCTAGCCCGAGGAGAAATTTAGTAGTCAGGGGCTATAGGACTACTGCTAATTTCGAATACTGTATCATGTACTCCAGTTTGAACAATTATAGTTGAAATTAGAATTAAAGAAACATAAAAAAGATTTTTTTATCTTTCCTTAAAAAAAGTATTGGTCTGAGAGAAAATTGTCCGTAACTGTAGACTGGGTACGAAAATATTGAGTACAAAACTGCAAGTGAAAAACATGTTATTTTGTTCCAACAACAAAAGTTAAAGAAATTAAAATATATTTTTGTTTATATTGAGGCATTAGCATGTCAATAGATGCCTAAACAAACTTAATACTGTGTTATCTCCTACAACGATTATCTGGCACAAATTTCATCAACAATTTCACAGGTTGATCTACGGGAGTTACCTCCCTTCTGTATTTCCTGCTACTTTCGTTTTTAACATGCGTTGTTGGCAGTTTTCAATGCAATAAAATGGAAATATATTGTATTTTTATGCTCAAAACATTTTCTTTCTACATATCAAATGTTTACACTTCTATTCTTTCACGCATAAATTTTGAAATACGAGCGTATTTTCATTTTGTTGTGCGTAACTGTGACGCACGAATTTTGAAAGTGATGCGTAATATTTCAGATTTTCTATGCGTATTTTACGCTTATACGCAAGCTATCTGGAGCTCTGAACATTTTAACACAAATGGGGCATCTGTCATTTTTGGAAGACAAACTGCATTTTCTTTAGTCGGCTGTCTGCATTAAGCTTGCCTGTATTTTTATTTTGTTAGTCATGACTACTCTGTTGTTAAGCAGTTCTAACTTGCAATATGGCCGATTTTAAAAGTAATGCAATCCAGGGGAAAATTGAAGTTCAGCATAGGGGGCATTTGTCCATTTTTAACAGCAAGTTTTGTTCAATTTTTTTTCCAAAATGAGGCATCATCTTTCTAAATCTTAATCATGGGCCTTTTTCATAATTGCTGAAAATTAGCTTGTAATGTTTAAATTATAGTCCTGATTAATTATACCATAGTTACAATTTCAATTGTTAATTTGTAGACACTTATATGTTTCAATTATTTTTCATTACAATTGGCCACATTAAGCATAATTTAAACATTCATCTCACTTCAGTTGAAGCCAGTTTAAAGCCCAACTCAAGTGTAGCCAAGGATGAAGAGCTTGGAACCCCATTGGAGAGGTTTAGACCAGGATATTTATGGGTCTCTGACCTGACTAGACAGAACTGGTGTGAGCAGCAAGTGTTTTATTCTTTCACTGTACCAGCAATTGTGGAAGAAAACCCAGTCATGACTGAAGGGTCTAGCCTACATTTAGCAAGAGGTATGTTGACATTGCCTGGACTCTGTATGATCTGAAATAGTTTAATAAATTCAAAATTAGGTTGTCTACTTTTGTTCTTAAACCCTTACCAGGCTAATTTAAAATATATTTCAATCTTGATAAAATCATAGGGTAAATGTTAAAGTAAGTATTAACTGAATAGCAAAGTGTGCAGACCATCATCTGAAACAGTACATATGAGCGGCGTCACAACAAAACCAACATAGTGCGTTTGCTGATCAGGATCCATGCTGTTCTCTTACAAACCCTATTACATGAAGAGAAACTGATCGCGAACAACATGTGCAGGAAGGTCTGGATCTATGCTTTTTTTCCCTTATATAAGGCCCCTTCACAATTAAAAATTGAACTTTTTTTCACAAAGCAGCGGAAAAAAATTAACAATTTCAAAAGAGATTTCACAAAATAATGGGACTTTGTCTACGAAACACATTGTTTACCTTCAATTGCAATAACACAGAAATAGCTTTAATTAAGTAAAATGGTTTTTGTGCTTGTTAACCAGGATAAAGTACCAACTTTAAGCAGATTTTGCACATGTCAGAAATTATAATCAAGCGTTTACGGTTTCAAAATGTCGTGAAATGCCAAGTAATATGTCATTTTTCTTTTCCCACAATTTTGACATATTGTGCTTTTTTTTCACAAAATGAACAGGCCCAGGCCCCTTCACAATTTTGACAAAAAAAGCCCTGTGGTCTCAAAGGCACTTTGTTGGTTTTGTTATGGCGAGGCACATAATTATGTGTTGCTCTTGTTCTGCAGTAGTTGCATGGATAGATTCAGTTGTCTTCACCAGACAAAAGGGTTATATCCTGAATGTTTCATTTTAGTCATTGGATACTTGTAGGTTCAAAACGGAAATATATACTTTCTTTAAATGCCTGAATATTTATAGTGTTAATGTTGTTTGTTTTATACCATTTAGCCAGGTGCAGTCTAAGGACTGGCAAAATCTGATTTTAACTTGTCTGTTATATCTGAATCAATTATTTACTTTTCTTTATGATATTAATAAAATACATTCTCTTAAAAACATTCACTTGCCCATACAGGCTGCAGGGGTGTCCGTGGCCGAGTGGGTAAGGTCATTGACTTCAAACCTTCTTGACTTCAAACCTTCACCGCTGTTGGTTCGAATCCCGACAGGGACTTTGGATTCTTTCACGTGAGGCTAGCTAGCTTACTGAACGTCGGTGGTTCTACTCAGGTGCCCATTCGTGCCTGAAATAATGCAAGGAAGGGCGCCTGAGGTCTTCCTTCACCAGTAAAGCTGGAATGTCGCGATATGACCTATAGTGTGTCGATGTGACGTAAAATCCAAAACAAACAAAACCATACAGGCTGCAGAACAATCTCGGCAAAACAAATTATTTTTACTGCCCCTGGTACATAGTTAAATTAAAAAAAAATTGTAAGGAAAGACATGTTTAGATATTGCCTGAATAGGCTGTACTTTTTGTTACTTTGCTTGACCAAATAATTTAGCGCTGTGAAATATGTGAAATGATTTATACATATAATGTCCACATATTTAGCTCAGCTTAGCTGGCCTTGGTATTGTTGAATGTCTGTCATCTGCCACCAGTCAGCATTTAGTTGGTTAACAATCCAGTGGTCATGTTTACCTCAATTGTCTTAAAATTTGTCAATATGAAAAGCTTTGGTAGTTTAGCGTGGAGGAAGATAGTCTAGTACTGGTGTAACTCTCCAGGAACGATGGTTAGGAAACTACCCGCCTTTTATGACTGAAATACTGTTAGAAAAAGGCGTAAAATGAAACAAACAAACAAACAAACAAATATGAAAATCTAGGTCACATGACCAAAAAAAAGAAAAAATCTTTTTAATGCTCTAGAGGCTAATGTTTCAGTTTAAATATCCTGAAAGTTGATTTTAAGATTGTTGAGGTGATTTCTATCTCAAGTTCCAGTATGGGTCATCTGGGGTCAAAAACTAGGTAACACATCCCAAATGTGGAAAACCCTTGTTTGCATTTGCGCTATTTTAGATGCAGGTATGAACATTGTGATATCAATTAATACTCGTATTAAGGCATTATATCTGATTTTCAACTTCATATAATGCTATAGCATAATTAATGTTGTTATCATTCTGTCTGTAACTATAGAAGATTTATGTATGTTTTATATACTTTGTTCTTACAGAGCTGGCAGTTCATGATGTGGTTCAAGTAAAGGTCACATCTAGTGAAGATATTTGGGCAATCAAAGTATTGAATCTTCTATCCTCTCTGATCTCCTTACTTAATGGTCAGACTGTTGCTAGAGAGATTCCCATATTTGGAGCACCGTTTGATGAAGACGTGTTTATTGTTGGTCTCATCGATGAACTGAGATTTGATCCAACATCATTTCAGTTGGATCTGTGGGAGTTTAAGACTCGTAAATATAAAAGTATGCCATCAAAGTCGCAGCAAGCTCAGAATAGGTTACAGGTAATGCTGTACAAGAAATTGTTTGATGACCTGGTCGAAGGTAAACTAACTAAGGAAGTAATTGCGAAACATTTAAAACTAAATATGAATAGAACATTTGGTAGTGATATCCAAGCTACTATTGATGATAAATGCTTAACAGGCACGACTCTTAATCAATTGTTGGATATTTTGTTCATTAGAATACAATGCATTACTTGTATTAAAGAAATCGGGATAGAGTACGAACATCAGGGAAGTAAAGAATCTCTTGGAATGAATAGTGTAGATTATGATGATGAAGAATTAGAGAAATTATTTAAGAGTTATCTTGAGTTTTGGAGAGGTAGGAGAGAAGTGAAAGGAGTGGAAATCGAGGAAGCTTGGAAGTGTCAGTCATGTGACTTTGCAGATATCTGTGATTGGAGGAAACGAAAGGCTGAACAATATTCACAACATGGTAAAAAGAAGATTTGATCGAATGATTGATACAAATATCAATGTTCATACAACTATTTTGGGGGTCACTTATCCCCAAATATTTCTTCAGTACATTCCAGTTGTAAGGATTTTGTTGTATATCTCAAAAAAATTCAAATAATATGCAGCTTCTAGCCACCACTCTTCGAGAAATATACAGCTTCTAGCCCTTAAGCTTCAAGAAATACTGCTTCTAACCCACAGTATTGTATGTCTATTACAGGGAGCATATGAGAATCAGATGCAGTTATTATAGGAGGCAAATGTGTCGATGACATTTGGGAGTCAGGAGTTCAAATTTTTTGCAGAGCTTAGATTAATGTTTCTTGTTACAATTCCAGTCATCAAATTTAGCACTGGCCTGGTGGCCCATGGCCAGTGAAAAATTAGTTCAGCCAGTGAAAATTTTATGAAAATTTAGTTAAATATAAAGTAGAATAAATTCAAAACTGGAATTCGAGCTAGTAAATTCAAAATCTTAAATTCATTGACTGCAATTCTGTTGTAAACAAATTAACACTAAACAGTACAATAATTGTCTGTATATATTCAAGACCTTTACTCTACCACTGTTATTGGATTCTGTTTGTGTTGAAATGTATTGCTAAGTGAAGAGGACAGGTACAAAAATGAAGAAGACTATGTAGTTGGTCAGTTAACTGTTTCAAACTTGACATTGCTGATGTGTAAAGTGATATTTTGAGGAGGCGAAAGGGGAAATTAGGATCCTTATTTGTGACATCTTGACACAAACTTGTGTGAATTACAGTCTACATTTAGAACACATGCAGTTTGGAACAGCAAGTTCATTGGGCACCAGTCTAAAAAAAGAGATAAGTGGCATGTTCCATTGATTCAGAAATAGAAGGAAGTATGGATATTCTGTACTGGTAAAAGTTAACATAATGATTAGTGCATGGTTTTATTTAATGTTATCTGTATGTAGGTATTGTTTTATTTGTTTTGTGATGTTAAGAAGTTTCACCTGGGTCTCTTAGGGCGGCCTTCAGCTTTTCTAAAGTTTAAATACGTTATTTTAAGATAAATCATTTCATTCCATATAATTGTCAAATTAAAAAAAAATTAAGGTGGAAAATGAAATTTGCCAATGATAAAATACATAAACAATAAGTGAACGGATACACTAAATTACCTATAAGCTCTCTTTGTATTCAAATTAGTAAAGTGACAGACGATACATTTCCAGATCATTATTTTTTTAAAGGAATAAACTTCACTGACGCATTGTAAATAGCTTTTGGGACGCTGTTTTGAAGAAGGCTTATCAATGATCATAACTCTTTTCCGATACAAAATTTCTGAAATATTTGGTTTGAAATAACACAGAATTGTTTTTAAACAGAAAATATAAAGCTGAATGCCGCTTTAACTTCCCTTTAAAAAAACTTTTTTTTTCCAGCGCAAATCATGTATAACAATGTTTCATTTTAATATAAGGTTTCCTTTTATGAGCACTTTACAGGTTAAATCTTGCATTAAAACATGGATGAATATAAATACAATTTATGTTTAAACAGTTGAATGTGTGAGCATTTGTGTCCTATGGACACTTTGCTATAGATCAAGCGTTTACTTGGAAATCAATTACAACATTTTTTCCTAAAGTGTTTTGTAGGATCTTTTAATATATTTATAAGACATTAAAGGGTTTCAATAGGCTGACAGTAAAAAATTGTTCTTTAAAAGAATTTACTCACCATTATATTTTAGCCATATAGGGCTGTTTTGTTTCATGTATGGAAAATGAACATACTGTACATGATGAAACAAATACCTGAATGAAATGTTTGAATCAATTCTCCAAAAGTGAATGGCATCTAAAAATATGCCAAGCTTGCCTACAGCATTTATGTAGAATATCACTAGCATAGACTGAGTATCACAAGTTTAGAGTAATACATTGTAAACATGTGTATCTACACTCAAGGACCTTAAAGTCTTAGACATTAAAACCACTGCTTTAAAGGGAGTTGAATGCCAGGGCCTTTTAACTAGTTTTGGGGAAGGGTCCCTAGCCCTTTTTGTGGGGAAAATATGCACGATTTTTGCACTTTTGGGGAAAATATCTATTTGTATATTTTTATATGTTAAAACACCTTTCAGGTTTACGTAAGAAGTTAATTTCAAACATCAACAAATAAAAAGGCATTTCTGAAGATGAATTTATTGCCACTGCACATACAGATTATGTATGGCGTGGATTTGTTTACTTTAGGGGCAAATAGCTCACAATACTTGCACATTTTGAGTTCCACTGTAAGAAAATTTTGACTCATATTTCCCAATAGAAAATCTATGCAGGTCATGCTCAGAAGATACAGTGCTGTCAGTTTCAGCTTTATCACTATTATTTATGCTGGGCTCCGGTTCAGGGGGAGTACATTGACTGCTGGATACTATAGGAGATAAACTAGCAACAGCAGGGTCATCAAATGATCAAATTTTCCCTTTGCGCTGGACTTCTGTTCAGGGGGATTACATGTAGTAATAGATACTGTAGTACTAGGTGTTAAACTCACAGCAGGGTCATCAAATCATCCCTTTTTAAAGTAATTCTTCAAAGTAACAGTACTACAAGCGTCATTCGCTCTTATTTTGTTCTTGTACGCTCGGCAATTGTGTAACATTGTTTACACTAACGTAAATCGGTCTCCCATCATGTCGTATAAATCACATGTTAATCGGAATATCTTCAGTTATAATAGCTCAATAGGAAAGGGCTGAAAAGCTGCGATTGATGACACGTATACCAGAACGAGGCCGGCGGGGTTTTCCCCATGCTGTTTTAAGAAAATTGCCATATCAGACCAAGGCTACAAGTTAACAGCCAATGCATTGAATTAAGGCATCCCTCTTGTCGCTAAATGGATCATTAGCTTTTATTGGACAGAACAGCGATCCATTTTTGTGTCGCCTCTACGGAGTAGTGGCGACATATAGGGATCACTTCTCCGTCGTCTGTCTGTCCATCTGTCCGTCTGTCTGTCTGTCCGTCCGTCCGTCACAAAACTTGTCCGGACTACTGCTCATAAACTACTGGTGCAATTTCATCCAAACTTTACAGGAATGATCAGTATCAAGTCTAGTTGTGCATATTGTCAGCATTTTCGGTTCAGTGATTTTTGTCAGAGTTATGGCCCTTTAATAATTTTTAATTTTAAAGTTTGTCCGGACTACTTCTCTTATACCTCTAATGCAATTTCAATGAAACTTTGTAGAATTGATCTGTAGCTCAAGTCCTTGCGCATATTGCAGGGGTTTTCCGGTTGAATGATTTTTGGCCGAGTTATGGCCCTTTGACAAAAAGGTGTTTTTTTCTGTATGTTGCCAGATACACAAAAGCTTGTCCGGACTACTCCTCATAAACTACTGGTGCAATTTTATCCAAACTTTACAGGAATGATCAGTACCAAGTCTAGTTGTGCATATTGTCAGCATTTTCCGGTTCAATGATTTTTGTCAGAGTTATGGCCCTTTAATTATTTTTATTTTAAAGTTTGTCCGGACTACTTCTCTTATACCACTAATGCAATTTCATTGAAACTTTACAGGATTGATCTGTAGCTCAAGTCCTTGCGCATATTGCACGGGTTTTCCGGTTGAATGATTTTTGGCCGAGTTATGGCCCTTTGATAAAAAGGTCTTTTTTTCTGTGTGTTGCCAGATACGCAAAAGCTTGTCCGGACTACTCCTCATAAACTACTGGTGCAATTTTATCCAAACTTTACAGGAATGATCAGTACCTAGTTTAGTTGTGCACTGTCCGTCTGTCTGTCTGTCTGTCACAAAATTTGTCCCAACATGAAATTGGCCATCATGAGGCGACACATGTGATTACTGATCGCTCTTGTATTATGAAAATGAACATAATCTACAAGATCATTAGATATTTTCAAGTTTTAACATACATGACTGTGAAAGAATAATATGTAAACAATTGCAAATAAACATAGGTACTTTAAATATTTGATGTAAATAAAATAAGAATCCCTGTAAAACAAATATAATTAATTGCATGTTTATCATATAAAATACATTTTTATATCAGATATATATTGAATCATTTTAGTACAAATAACTTGAATTTGATGCATCTAAAATCATAAAAATAAATATACTTTAACAGCCAAAGTTTTTTCTCTTTAAATGAAAGGTAAAGATTTTTCTCTTTAAATGAAAGGTATCAACATTTTCACAGAGAATTTTTGTAGCCATAGAAAGGTGAAATAAAAAAATACTGTCTTAAAAATTTTCCGTTGACGCTTCATAAACAGTAAAAAAAAAAATCTGACACAAATCTTAATCCAGTTTACACCTCAGTTTGTTAACATACATCGATTGCCTTATATGGCAGTAGGGAGTCTAGACACTACGTCACTTGATACCTGTATGTACATGTAAACTGTGTAATTGATGCAGAGTTGTGTAAAGGTTTTTTGGAGTGAACTGACTACTGGATAATAATTGGACCTAATTATTTTGGCCTTTTGGGTGTTAAAACAGGTATTATTTATTATTTATCTGATTGAAACGGATTTTTACCTCTTTCAATCCCTCCTCAGTGTTGGTGCTTACTGTGAGACAAAGCTAGTTTATAATATATTATTTTTGCAACAACATAGATCACAGTTACGTAAAAAATAATAGTTTCAAACATTGCTTATCTTTGATTCTTTGAGATTCTATTGCCTGATCATTATTTTTAACCAGGTTTTCCGAAGGAAAAAACTGGTTATTAGATTGAGGTATGTCGGCGGGCGGCTGGCGGGCGGGCGGGCGTAAACAATTTCTTCTGTGCGCAACTTCTCCTACATTTCTCAACGGATTTTGACCAAACTTTCACAGAAGCTTTGTCATCAAGTGCCCTGGCGCATATTGTCGGGGTTTTGCCATTGGATAATATTTTACCTAATTATGGCCCTTTGTTGTTTTTTCTTATATAGAATATATAGTGAACAATTTCTTCTGTGCGCAACTCCTACATTTCTCAACAGATTTTGACCAAACTTTCACAGAAGCTTTGTCATCAAGTGCCCTGGCGCATATTGTCGGGGTTTTGCCATTGGATAATATTTTACCTAATTCTGGCCCTTTGTTGATTTTTAGTCCCCTACCGGTTTACCGGAGGGGACTTTAGGTTTACCCTCCGTCCGTCTGTCTGTCTGTCCGTCCGTCCGTCAGTCCGTCCGTCCACAAAACTGGATCCCGCAATAACGCAAAAAGTACTGAAAATATTTTAATGAAACTTGATATATGGATAGATGGCAGTATGGAGATTATGCACGTCTTTTTCTTTTCTTCCTATGTTGAAAATTCTGGTTGCTATGGCAACAAATAGACTGAAAATATGGCAAATTTTACACATAACCTGGATCCCGCGATAACGCAAAAAGTACTGAAAATATTTTTATGAAACTTGATATATGGATAGATGGCAGTATGGAGATTATGCACGTCTTTTTCTTTTCTTCCTATGTTGAAAATTCTGGTTGCTATGGCAACAAATAGACTGAAAATATGGCAAATTTTACACATAACCTGGATCCAGTGATAACACAAAAAGTACTGAAAATATGTTTATGAAAACTTGACATATGGGTAGATGGCAGTATGGAAATTATGCACATCCTTTTCTTATCTTCCTATTTTGAAAATTCTGGTTGCTATGGCAACAAATAGACTGAATTTCAAGATTTCTGATTCTAGTTTTTAAGTTTTTTCACTATAAGTTCTTTATTTCTTAAGGTATTTTCTTCAAACTTTAAATATAAGTTGCTTGTCATCAACCACATCATATGTGACAAGGTTTACAACTCTAGCACAAAATTTATCAGAATTACCTCCCTTGAACTTAAAATTTTCATGAAAAAAACATTGTTTTTTTTAATAACTTCTTTTTCTGAATGTATCTACTTCAAACTTCATATAAATGTTTCTTATTATCACTCAACATTTTTGAGTGTTCAATACTCTAGCAAGACTTTTCCAGAATTATGCCCCTTTTGAACTTAGACTTTTTTTTGAGAAATTGGTAATTTTTACTCCAACTTCTTCAATCATGATAGGATTTTAAAAATGTTATATTTTGATAACAGGGATGTTTAAAAAATAACTTTAGAGTGTCCTTCAGTCCGTCTGTCTGTACATAAAAACTGTTTCCTGTGATCACTTTTAAAGAACTTTTTCAACAAATTTACTTAAAATAGGAACCTAAGTGAATGGCCAATGGCCCTTCAGAATGTTGCTTGGGCTCTTACCGGTAGGGGACTTATGGATTGCTTGCAATACTATGATAATTGCTTGTTCTTATATAGAATATATAGTGAACAATTTCTTCTGTGCGCAACTCCTCCTATATTTTTCTACGGATTTTGACCAAACTTTTACAGAAGCTTTTTATCAAGTGCCCTGGCACATATTGTTAGGGTTTTGAGATTGGATAATATTTGACTTAATTATGGCCCTTTGTTTTTTTTCCTTATATAGAATATATAGAGAACAATTTCTTCTGTGCGCAACTTCTCCTACATTTCCCAACGGATTTTGACCAAACTTTCTCAGAAGCTTTGTTATCAAGTGCCCTGGCACATATTGTCGGGGTTTTGTGATTGGATAATATTTTACGTAATTATGGCTCTTTGTTTTTTTCCTTATACAGAATATATAGTGAACAATTTCTACTGTGCGCAACTTCTACATTTCTCAACGGATTTTGAACAAACTTTCACAGAAGCTTTGTTATCAAGTGCCCTGGGGCATATTGTCAGGGTTTTGTGATTGGATAATATTTGACCTAATTATGCCCCTTTGTTGTTTTTCCTTATACAGAATTATCAATATATAGTGAACAAATTCTTCTGTGCTGAACTAGTCCTACATTTCTCAACAGATTTTGTTCAAACTGTCACAGAAGCTTTGTCATCAAGTGCCCTGGCGCATATTGTAGAGGTTTTGTGATTGGATGATTTTTGACCTAATTATGGCCCTTTGGTTTCTTTCCATATACAGAATATATTTTTTCCTTATACAGAATATATAGTGAACACTTCTTCTTTGGCAATCCCTCCTACATTATTCATGTTTTACATTGCACATAGTTACATTGTTTATTGCTTGTATTTGTATTTCAAATACAACATATTTATCTACAATGGAGATAATTGAAAACCTGGTTTCATGGCATTGCCATGTTTCTTGTTTTATCTGCACTTATCAACTTCAAAGACCCAATGCCGACAACAAACTCAAGGCGGGGTTACATAGCCAAACAAATATTGATACGTCACACATACAGTTTCGGACGCTGTCATTGGTTAATCACCTGCAATACTGACACTGATTGACAGGTTTATCAAAGGAGAAATTGTTATTCCTTGACAGCTGAAGTGTGTCGGAGTAACTAACAATACAATTATCCGTTAGACCCCTGCTGTTTAATGGGGAAATATTACTTCAGGCATATATAGTTGTTTAAGTCTCTTGTTTAATTATGTTTGTTGGTAAAAAATATGCTTTAATTTTTTGTTGGTTGAATTTTTGAAAATCAGGGGATTTCGATCCCACGGCGGGAGATCGGGAGACATGGTCGAAAATCAGGGTTTTTTGTCCCCCGGCGGGGGATATGGCATGTATGAGTGTAGACAATTTAGGTAATTTTGATACCCTCCTTGTCGGGCCTCACATATAAGTGTCAATAAATTCAGAAATAAACAAACTAGTTTGTAAGTTAGGGGAAGAACCTAGCCGAACTGTGTCAAATTTTTAGGTCTCTATGTTAAAATTTATGAAACCTGTACGGAAAAATGTTCAAAAAGTGTCCGGTTGATGGTTCCCGACCAGTAAAGATAACTGATTGTGTATCTCACTGTATTTCTGACTCCTGGTAGTTTTAACCGTAAATTTAAATACCTTCAGTGTCAAAACATGTGTTGAGGAAGCTAAGATCACCAGCATTTAATTGGTGTAACAAATTTTAAAATCGGACATATAATCGCCCCAAACTAGCGATTTAAACACAGCTAAATTTGCATTAGAAACTAAGGGAACTAAGTCTTGCTTAACTTTTTTCACTCAATATACAGAGTTTATAAATACAAACCAAATAAATAACAATTTTTTTCTAAATATACTTTTTTTCGGCAGAAGTATAATTTATAACTATATAATAATAAGATATTTCTTATTATTCATTTACCTTAACAACATGCAAAGCAAAGTTAATACGTTATATATACTTTTGTAAAGTGGGCCGAATTGATTCGTGCCGAGTTGACCCGTGCCGAATTTGGCCGAGTTGACTCTTTTCCTTGGCTTAGGAAACTAGCCTATGACTGAAATACTGTTGAAAAAGGCGTAGAATGAAACAAACAAACAAACAAAAAATTTAGGTTCTTACCTAAATGTGGTCTTTTGTGGAAAATTATTTTCCTGAGCTTTTGCAATAGCATAGAAATCATCATGGTTTTTGATATTTATGAACAGTTTGCCCATTGGTCAATTTTCATGTCACATTACGTGCTATTTGATTGGTATATACATATATATCTCCAAAATGCATTTTGCGATCGAAAGCCTTCATGGCACAGCGGTTGTAACGATGGCGTAGCGAGTGAGAGGATCAGAGTTCAAAACCTAGATTGTGGTACATTTTTTGCTCGCCCATATGGTCTCTTTCCGGTGGCGAGGGTAAACAAACCCAAACACACACAAATTTGCGAAATGACATTTGCTAATGATTATTGCGAAATGACAAATGCGAAATGGCTATATCAGTGTGGCAATACCACGTGACATTGACGTCATTTTCGGCATCATTTCCAAGACAAATGTTGATCGATTCGGAAAAGAAAATAGCCGTAAATATTTTATTTCTGTACCAATTTCTTTGGGATATGCACCAGTCTACGGGGAAAAATATAGGCTTTCCACAGAATATTGGATCTTCGTCAGTTTATAAGCCGTTTTATCAAACACTTTGCATAACCTTGGAAGTTGCTTGTATTAGAGCGGGCTTCAGTTGCAAGCTATTTCGTTTTCTTGCGTTATCTGGTCTACGTCATGATTAAAAAGTCAGGTTTACATCAACCGGGAGTACAGAAGGCAAAACTCTACCTAAATATGTTCATACTTTTATTATGAATGATATAAATCTTAAATTTTTCTTAAATTGTCAATTCTGGCACCAGTTCCAAGTCGAAAAAAAGGACTACAGTTTAAAGCAAATTTTAGAATCCGTTGCAAATGCAAAGCAACATGCCTACCGTTCTCTTTCTACAATTTAGTTTTTCATTGTTGATCTTTCACAGACAGTTTGTGAAAAAACTGATTGTTCCTTAAAGCAATAACACTTTCTTGTATCGCAATAGTGCACCTCAAATCACGAAGATTTAGTCCTGTCGGAAAATAATATTTTGGTTTCGTTTTGAAGATGTTTAAAGCACAGGCGCTAGTCACATAATCAAATATTTTACATAATCGGTCTATAGACTGTCTATATGTATATAAAGATTTATATTCATATATAGACCGATTATGTAAAATATTTGATTATGTGACTAGTGCCTGTGGTTTAAAGTATTGCTCATTTTATCCTATGTAGTAAAATGTGTTTTATTCTATTTCACAATGGCGAAATTGATAAGAAATATATGTGCTCTCAGTGAGAGAAAGAGTTAAAATAAAAAAAAACACTTTTGTATGCTACGGAAAGAGTTACACTTTAACGCGAGTGTTGTAAAGCTAAAGGATTTTTGTGCCCCCACGTTAGTGGCGGGCATTTAGATTTACCCTCGTCCGTCCTTCCGTCCGTCCATCCGTCCGTTCACTTTTGTGTCGCACGTAACTCAAAAAGTATTTGACCTAGAGTCATGAAACTTTACAGGAATGTTGATCAGCATGTGTAGTTGTGCACCTGGGTATTTCCGTCAGGATATTTTTAGTATTTTCAGAGTTATTGCCCTTGACTTAGTAAAATTTTGCAATTGTCAACTTGTGTCGCATGTAACTCAAAAAGTATTTGACCTACAGTCATGAAACTTTACAGGAATGTTGATCAGCATGTGTAGTTGTGCACCTGGGTATTTTTGTCTGGATATTTTT